AATAAATAGTAGTTTCGTCAATGGTTTCGTCAATCGTCAATGGTTTCGTCAATCGTCAACGGTTTCGTCAATCGTCAGCGATTCGTCTGTATCGTCATTTGACGAAACCATTCGTCAATTCAAAAATAGTTTCGTCATGCATCTTTAGTTACGTTACACTTAATTACGATTTCCCATTGGATAAATTTGCCATCGATCATCATGTGACCCGAAAAATTCGTGGCCGCCCTGGTGGATTCTTCATAATTAGTACATTTATTATTTTTATGAAAGTAATTGTTCAAGAGATTTTATTGTGCAAAGGTCAAAAGACATGATCTTTTAATTAGTGACGCGTTTTTGCACGGCATATCACGTGCAGTTAGATATAACTTTCACCCAATCATAATTTTAGTGACATTTAACGTGGCAGGTCACTATGAAACGTAAAGATTTAAAACATAATTTAAATTAAAAGCATGAAACAAAAGGGCCTAGGATTATCTATATACAGACAAAAGATCATATATAGGCATAAAATAAAGTAATTCGATATCATTGTGACAGTTTATACTTATTCATTCAGGGTCAAGTACACGTATATAGAATTGAAAACATTGATGTTCATGAAATTAGAATATTTAGGAAGCGTTGTGTTAGCCTATTGCAAAAAATCCATCATTTGATATGAAAGTGCACGATAGAACATGTATAATACGGTATATTAAAGTAGATATCGGATTGCTTATTTGAATGTTAAAGGACTGTAATTACTTCAATTATCTGCAAATCATTTATTTTGGTTGTGCAAATTTGAAGAGAATAAAGAGAGGCAATAATCTTTAGTAAAGACATTGTGTATTAGATATTTGTAACGATTAATTACTATTATAAAAGGTCAATATATTTATTATATAAAAAATTATTGTAATTAAAAAAGTCAATACATTATTGATATATTATAAAATTACTGTAATTAAAAAAATGTTTAGATACAATATAATTATGAGTAAATAATTTAAATGAATACATCAAAAAGAAATTAATAGGCTGAATGTTAAGAAACATAAAATTATAAGAAATTGATTTATCAAAAGATAACTTTGATATTTATCCTGATCGGCTGTTGCGGTCAAATACTATACAGTTCTTAGTTCTGCCCGTTGCAATATCTTTCACTTGAACTGCGATTGTATACATAGGAGGTATGAAACTTGGAATTATAGCATTGAATCTTCCTTCGATATTAGTTTTGCCGATAGCAAGTGGATGCGCAGTAGTACCTACGAGACGGCCAAAGTCATCATTAAATGAAATTATTAATTTGTCAAATGCTGAGGCCGGTTCAATTAGCGTATTAACGTCAAAAGCCGTAATGGTTCCGTCAGGACCAACAGGGTCAGGTGACCAAGTTACATTAATTAAGGGTTTAGCTATGCTAAAAGCTGAACAATCTCTAAAGTTAATATTCGCATTCGCCATGAAAGGCATGGCAAATAATATAAGAATTGATATAAAAATAGTGTTTCCATTCATAGTTATTTGTCTGACTGGAGTTTTTTTTAGAAAATAAGGTTATTTCGTTTATTGTGTGCGAATTTTGGATGAATTATCGATGAGATAATGTCCTTTATATATGTAAACGACTAATTTATTTTGTACGCAAATTCTTAATAATTATCTTTATTATTTGTTCATAGATATTATTATGTCATAGTCAAAATGATTCTCCTATTGACACCTAATTTGTTTATATTCAATTGTTTTGTATTGATTTAATCACTATTTCAATCGGTTATTCAAAGATAAGCTCTTATTTAATTTCTTTATATGGATGCATCAAGGGAAAACCAGAATTCGTTCATATGACTGAAGTCCAGATTTTCCATGGCGTCACTCATATATTATTTACTTCTCATTTATTTTATTCTTAATAATATAATCGATGTACTTAAGATAAACTAATCATTTCTTATTTAATCTGTTTTATAGGATGTTTCTACCAAATTCTTATCTCAATCCAATTCGTATATTTTGATCTATCATTGCTATCTCGTGATCTAGTGATTAAATCATGATGATTTTGATACCACTCGAATCATCTTGTTAAAATGATTTGAATAATGCCAAAATTACCAAATTCTAATTACTAGATCACAATATATCAATTATAGATCAAAATATACGAATTAGATTGAGATACGAAAAATCCTATAAATTAATCAATAATGATATTAATTGTCACAGATCATAATGAAATCAGATTAAAATGAAATGAAGGGTTTCTATTTGAGTCTCATATGCTTGTTTATTATAAAATCTGCTTCTAAACCATAATCCTAATCCTAAAAAAATGCACTCCAAAAATTTGTATTTTTCGGTAGCTTGTCTATTTTACACTATCTCTCATTTCGTTTTAATCTGTCACATTAATTAAGTATTAGAGATCAGCTAAAATAATCTATTATGCTCATAGACATTTAATAGTTGAGGGTAGAGTAATCGGTTAGACGCAATTCATATCATGTGATTTGATCTAGTAGTCAAATTTATAATTAACTGCTTTCTTTTTTTAGGTTTTCCGCCTCTGATTTGCACGATAACGTCTCGCAGCTATCTGGTTTAATCTAAAAAAAAATATTTATTTTATTACAAAATGAAAAGTTTCACATTATGATCTATTAATTAACCTAGTTTATAAAGAGTGCAGTGCGATTTGAAAAATATATAGATCGCTAAATTGATATGAATAAAATTGATATGATAAAATTGATATGAATAAAATTGATATGAATGAATAAAATTGATATGAATAAAATTGATATGAATAAAATTAATATGAATGAATAAAATTGATATGAATAAATTGAATCTAATGAATGATTTAACAGTACAGTAACTATTACAGTCAGGGATTTTACCCGATATAGGGGTCGTCTAAAGCCATGTACCCACGTGACTTTTTTGCGTAAATCAACCCACCGGAATTGCGAAATTCTGTTTACACGGATCAGCCCGAAGAAGTCAAAAATAAAGAAAACACAAAAGACGAAAAACAGCAACACCAAACTAACCCTAATCCTAACCTTAATTTTAATTAATTAAAAACGATTAAACCGTCAAAATCATGTGGGCACATGGCTTTAGCCCGGTTTACTTATTTGCGCGAGTAACACAAACCAAAAAAGGAAATCGATTTGTAAATAAAAGTTTAGGATTAGGGCGTTAACATTAGAAGCTATAGCAATAGATTGTTACTCCGAAAGTTTTAATTAGTGCATCAAGGTCGATTTAAACGCTAGTTTTTGAGTATTTTCGCTTTTTTCTTCTTTTGCACGTGTTCGAACTTCATGTCTGGCTGACCATTTCTTTCTAGGGTTTGTATTACCCCGCACAAATAAGTGCGTGCGCTTTAGCCACACCTTCCGGTTTCCGATTTTTTAATTAATATTAGGGTTAGAGTTAGACATAGGCTAGGAGGTTAGTAGATATATAGTAAAATCGCATTACCGAGGTTTTATCTTTGTCAGTTTATTCGGAATAATCCAGGACCCAAATCGTAAGGTGCCAGGCTTAGTTATTGTACTCGGTCAAAAAAACATTACTCGGTTAACCGACGAGTAAACTCCACGGGTTACTCGGGTAATCACATATATACTCGGGTATAAAATTTTACCTGTTGTACCCGAGTAAGCTAAAATCTGATTGGATGGTCGAACGAAATGTTACACGATATGTTAGCGTAACATACGAGTACGAATTAGTAAGAATTAAGATCAAGAAAATTTAAAAGTATATACCTTGTTTTATGAACTGTCGAAGTAATTTGGTAATCCGCAAAGTAATCTATCTATAATGGTTTTTTTTTTATTCGTGCGATTTAGTTAAAGTTTAGGTTTTCGATTAACCAATAAAATTTTTACAATATTATGAATATCATGGGATAATCGGTCAATCACAATGAAGCTCGCTATGCTGGTATTGCTCGGGTGAATCTACCGGTTATTACTCGGGTGAATCTACTCGGGTGAATCTATCCGGTTATTACTCGGGCGAATCTACCCGAATAGCTCTAATCATTACTCGTAACTCGGGTAATACCCGACCCGGTATAGTCTCTAGCCAGACTTTAGACGACCCTCCGATATAGAAATTAATCTGCAATATATTAAAAGTTTATTCTAAAACCGATTTTTATTTAAAACAAAGTATTCTTATTATCTAAAAAAAAAACAATCAAGTTTAAAAAACCTTGAAAATATTCTTGCAAAGTTATCCTATGAATATGTAGTCTAGGAATCCGTTGGGGTCCCCGAAGCTTTAAAAGGCGGTTGTGCACCAAATACCAACGCAGCTAATGATTGGTGCCTATAAAATTCAAAAAGAATTTTCCATTTTTACACGAATTTGATAATTATTGATAATGAAATACTGTATTCTTATCTAAATCAACTTTTATGACGCGTAAAAAATCCAGTAAAAACTAAAAGAGACGCAGAAATATTTTGTAAATCCAGATAAGAGCTAAAAAGATTCATGTACGATCTAACGTATATACTGCACATCAATTTTAGACACTGATCATACCTTAAATAAGCTTGGTATGGATGTAGATCATTATGTCATAACAAGGATGTAGGGTTACTATGACATCATGAAAATCACGACTGTAGTACTAATGATTACAATAACAAAGTTTTTCGTATCGGCCGCTTGTGTAGCCGATACGTCAGCTACACTTCTCAGCAAACATATCATGCCTTCGTAAATAAGCTAGTCGTAGTTAGCCCAAGATATCAACATTAAATTATCCGAAGCGTAGCGAGAAGTTTCTGTTTGATCTAATTTGATTCAAAATGCCATGTGCCTAAATTTTTTGGTTGTTGAAAATATTATAGACTGCCGATATTGCCTATATAATTATAGACTGCCGATATTATGATTGACTTCTAATTACTCATTTACAATATAGATCGGAGTTTATATATTTTGGCATTTACTATAATTTTTATGAAATTAAATAGCAATTTTTAAATGCATCTACTGTAAATGATCAAAGAAATACCAATGATTTTACCTTATGTAAAATTTTAACTTATTTATTTTGATGAAATTAAAAAGCAATTTTTAAATGCAACTACTGTAAATGATCAAAGGAATACCAATGATTTTACCTTATGTAAAATCACACTGTATAAAGTATCGTTCATACCCGGACAAAATTTTTTTTACAACTTTTAGCTTTAAACACAGTCTATCGGAATCTCAGGCAGATCTATAGTGTCTATAATGTTACCGATAAAAAGGTTCATGAAGTTATTCTTTTTAATGAAACACTGGAAATTCAAAAACAGAAGTTTCAGATTTTTGTCAATCACACCGTATCACGGCTGATATTTATACGTAATGAAAAAATTTTTTTTTATAAATTATTACATACCTCTTATAGTTCTATATTTTATTTGGTGCATCTTTCTTGTACTGACATAGAGATGCACATCTCGCGAGATCACAGAATTCTTGCACTTGTGATATCGCGAAATGATGTCATATTTCTCGCGAGATAAATTAATTGATTAGAAAATTTTAATAAAATATATACCACATATGGGATCTTTGCTAGGAAAATCACCCTTCGGACCAAAACTGTTTTGGCTACAGCTGTTTTCAAAAAGGTGTGAACAACGATTTCCACATACCTATGTGAGGAATCGAAGAATTGGGAAATTATTATTAGTAAAAATTGAAGATCCGATTAGAGCTGGTTTTGAAAGTTTTGGAAATCTGGGTATTTCGTGAATTTCCCGTGATATAGTTATTTGCGTCTGTTCACATCTTTTTGAAAACAGCTATAATTGCATCGTTTAATCTTGTATCGTGTGATTTTTAATAAAGATAATTGCATCGGGTAATCTCGTATCATGTGAGTTTTAATAAAGAGCTGGCATGCCATTATTCGTCATACCCAAACCATCACTGCCGATTCTGTTCCTGTCCAAAATATATGATATTTTAGCATTAGGTATATACTTATAATCAGCTATGCATCAGCATGTTAGAATACCCAAATTATAATCTAAATTTTGGTGAGTACTATCTTTATCTTATATGGTTAGCGTTAGTTTCAATAGCATTTATATTTAAGCATTAATTAAATGTGTTGATAGTGAATCAAGCTTTTTTTTTTAAAAGAAAATATTTACATAGACAGTATAACTGATATTTTCGATAATTTTTTTCGCTAAGACTTTTAAGAATTTGTTGCAATGCTTTTATATAAAATATTTATCATTACTTTAGTTATTAATCTATTAACTGCTCACGCAATGATTTCATTGCCTATTCATGAATTGGAAAAGCGTGAACCAGAAGGACATAAAGCAGAAAAACGACGTAATGTCTTATAAGCTTGCCTTAAATATTTTTATTCATATTAATAATCTATCTTATCGTTTTTATCCTGTTCATCTGCATAATTATTAGAACTTGTATCAAATCTCATTGCGTAATTATGTTAAAAATTTTATTTTACAATAATTAGTTTAATTAATATGCTTCTAATATTATTATTATTTTTTTTTAACTTTTATATATGTTTTAGGGGGTACGTATAATTTCATATTTATTTGTAAAAATTATTTTTACAATAATTAGTTTAATTAATATGCTTCTAATATTATTATTATTTTTTTTTAACTTTTATATATGTTTTAGGGGGTACGTATAATTTCATATTTATTTGTAAAAATTATTTTATGGTTTTCAAGTTATATTCTGATTAACTTTCTCACCTAATAATACTCTTATTTTATTCAATTATAAGTATGTAAGTATGAATTTGACATTAACTTGTGTGCCAGGTTAGTGCCAGACTACCAATCAGATTTCAAGATAAGGTGTAATGTTACACGATCAAAAAAATCCAAAACAAACGTTCGTCTGGCCAAACAAAATCGGGTATTTCTCAAAAATTCGCATAAGAAATCACCTTCCGTGCTTTAACTAAAAGTTTTCCTTGAACGATTTTACTATATTTCTTGTTAATATTTAATAAATTTTACATTTCGGACGTTCGATCGGTAACATGCATAATCTGGCACACAATTCAGACGTGCATAAAGCATCATTTTTCGTTATTACTTAATAATGCACGTTTTCTTATATTTTCTATTAAATTATTAGGCTGTATGTATAACCTCCTATTTATATTATTATTTAACAATTTTAATCGCTTTCTAAACATGTTTTCGCATATTCTTAGTGCGTAAGTATAAATATAATTCATGTGATGTTTTTAGAGACTTAATTGGTCCTGCTGAAATTTATCAGCCGACTTTAAATAATATTTATAAAAAAGAATTGCATTTCTTAACTAATATTCGGCTTTATTCTTAAAATTATTGATATTTACTAAATTTGTTTTATAATTTAATAATATATTCCGGACTTTTAGAATGTAAGTATAAAATTTATTGCACTTCTTCAATTAGCTTTAATATAACTTAATGATTCTTTTCCTATCTTGTTATTAGTGTGTAAGTGTAACTTGTTTTATTTATTTGAAGTCATTTATTTCTAAAAACCTATCGCCTAAGATCTTTAAATTGCACGCTTATAATCATCTTTTATAATAAAATTAAACGTGTTTTTATGTTGGAATATAGGCCGTAAGTTTAAATTTTATTAAATTTGTTAAAAAGATTTTTTAAATTATTTTTTAACTTGCTTTTTAACGTATTTTTTTTCGTTATTATTAGGAAGTACATATAAATCCTATTGTATTTGTCTCTATAAATAACAATTTATGATTATGATTCCCTAATTATTTTTCTCGTTTAATTATTAGACTGTATGTATCTTTATTTCTAAAATTATATTTCTAAGTTACTTTATAAACTAATTATATATTTTTTTCGTGATTATTAGGGGGTAAATATAAACCTTATTGCATTTATCTCTAGACTTAAAAATTTATGATAATAATTCTAATTGTTTTTCGTTGAATTATTAGACTGTATGTGTTTATTTTTAAATTATATTTTCTAATTGCTTTTATAATCTATTACTGCACGCGCTCATACATATTCCTTTGAATTATTAGTGAGGAGTTGCTAATGTATTTATTACTAAAATTATCAGTGATTTTATGATTTTTAAATTTTATTTTTCTAATTGGCTATAATACATGTTTTTATCAGACCGTATGTAAAATTTCATAATCTGATATTTATGTTTCATAATTGTTTTTATAACTTAACGATATTCGTTTTGTGCATTCTCTTGTCACAATATTAGCAAGTAAATATAAATTCGTTATTTTTATTCGAAATTTTATCTATTTTCAAATTTTGAAATTTTCCATGATAAATTTTTTTGTTTAGGGAGTGAGTATAATTTTAAATATTAACTTTTTAAGATTACTATTTTATGTCTTTTGTTATGACTAATACAATCTTAATATGCAAAATATCAGGGAGTAAGTATCGCAATTATTTTTATCATTTAGTTATTTTTAAATGATTTCTTATTATCTTTATTTTTTTTTAAAGGCAGTATGAGTTCATATATTTATTATTGACATAAACCTTCTTAAATGCCACTAAATATAATATCTCTAAATAAATACAATTGCTTGATTTCCGAACGAAATTTATGATCGACTTTTTATAATTTAATTATTAGAACGTATATATGCATTTTATTTCTAAAATTGTTATTTATAATTTTCATTATTTTTTCTAATTTGATTTATAATATATTATATGTATATTCTTCGTTGAATACTAGGAAGTAAGTATAAACTTAATAGTATTTTTTTAACATTATCATTAATGACCTTTACATCTCCCAAATTGCATTTTATAATCTAACTGCGCTTTTTTGTACCTTTTTATTGATTATTAGAACGTATGCATAAACCCATTGTATTTCTTTAATGACTGATCATCGTATATATATATTTATTTATTTAAAAAATTTTATCCTTTTTGTCGGATTGCCAGCCTGTAAGTATAAACTCTTTTTAGTATTTTCAATAATACTTCAATTTTATAACACATCTTTACTCATTTCCTTATGTTGGATTATTAGCATGCAAGTATAAAACTTTGTTTATGAATTTTGAATGTACTTTACTAATTTCTTTTTCACATTTAATAATAAACATGTTATATTCTATTTGAAATATTAGAGAGTAAGTATAAATTACATTTATTTATTAAAATTATCATTTTTTATTTTTAAAATATGTATTTTTTTCTAATTATATGACAACATCTTTTTATTAGTTCGTAAGTATATTTTCAGTGTATTTATGTATAATTTTTTAGTTTTAAATGGTATTTTCTTGTAACTAATGGCACATATTTTATATATTATTTTTATACACAGTTGGTAATTATATTCTTTAATAAAATAATCTTTCACAACCTAATTAATACATTCTTCTGTTGTACTATAAGGAGGTTTGTAAAATTTTATCGAAATTTGTGTTTTATACATTTTTATGAACATTTCATTTATTTTCTTTTAAAATTTTAGTTAGTAAGTATTATCTTTATTTTAGAAATTTTTATCTTATAATTTTAATTCATGTATCTCTAATTAATTTCTATACAATATTATTTTTTCATCAACTTTTAGCATGTAAATATAAACCAACATTTACGATTTTTGTATTTAATTATTTTTGCAACTTTATAATATTTTCTTGATTTTTTATTGAATCGTTAGGCCGTAAGCATAAAATTATTTATTCATTTTAAAATTGTGCTTCCTTATAAACTTTCATAACCTATGATATATATTCATCTGTTGGACTATTAGAGGGTAATTATAATTTTACCAAATCTATTCTTAAAGCTATTGATCACTATTTTAATTTGTGGTTTCACTATTTGGTATAAAAAATATGTTTTATGATTCGTTTTGTTCTGTTAGAATGTAAGTATTAAATTAAATTCATAATATTTAATTTCTAATTTTTAACTGGCTTTTGATATTTTTTATTTCGGATTAGTTCTGAGTGAGTATAAAATTATATTATTGTCTAAATTGTATTTATCTAATTGACATAAATTATATTTATAAACATTTTAATATTTCTGAATTATTAGTGAGTAAGTATACACTTTTATGAATTTTTTAATTTATTGCACCCCTATTATAACTACATGAAGATTAATGTTAAGATTAGGGTTAAGATCTGGGATGAAGCAAGGATATAGGGTATATCAAAATTTTACGAAGAATTTTTTTATTAGAACCCCAAAGGTGGTCTCATAGTAAAAATTTTTATATAACAGAATGGGTGCAATTTATTGCAGGTGCAATAAATTATAAACCCCAAATTTTATATATTAATTATATTATTAATTTATATCTTAAATTGTGCTTTATTATGATTTAACTATGGATTCTTTATATTCTTTTATTGCCATATTAGCCCGTATGTATAAACTTCATTATTCTTTAAGTACATTTTTATAGCCTAGTGGTTTATATTTAACTATATTTTATAACTTAATTATGTATATATTCGAATTCTTTATCGATATTAGAACGTAAGTATAAATAAATCATTTGTATATTTTCAAAATTAGTTTTAAAATTGATTTTAAATTGATTTTTAACTCATTAATGAATTATTATATATCTCTTTATTATAAATATTCGGATAAATTTTAGTGAGTTAGTATTAAATTTTTTATTTTTAAAATATCAACTTATTTTAGCTTTAAAATATTTTGTACATTATTATTAATCTAATGATACATTATTTGTATATTTCCATTGATTATTAGTGCGTAAGTATGAAATTTATTATACTTTTAAGGATATTATTATTTACTTTATAATCTATAATGTATATCTTGATTAATCAAATAATATATATTCACATATTCTTTAATGCATTATTAGCATGTGAGTATAAAATTCATATATTCCTAAGTTTTTCAATTTGTGATCGAATTCATGATATGATTCAATAATACATGTATTCTCTATTGAACTATTAGTAAGTAAGTATAAATTAGTTGCATTTAAATTTATCAGATTTGATTGGCTTTTATGAATAATAATATTATTAATTTAATAATGCATATATTCTTCTTGAATTATTAGTGAGTAAGTATAAAATTCTTTATTTTTTAAATTTACTAATTTTCAATTGATTTTTATAATTAATAACATTATTATATCTAAAAATATATATATTTATTGAATTATTAGTGAGTAAGTATAAAATTCTTTGCATTTGGAACTTCAACTTTTGATTGACTTTTATAATTAATATTATTATTAAGCACGTAAGTATAAATTTTTTTGCATTTTTAAATTACCAATTCTCAATTGAATTTTATAATTAATAATATTATTAATTTAATAATATATATATTCTTTATTG